TCTTCATCACTTAATGGCCTGAAATCAAATCAATCCACCAATTGATCATTGAAATTTCAGGTCAGAATTTGAACCATCAACTAAAAAAAGGAGATTAAAACTTACCTGCATCTCAGCAAAACTTGCACGTTAACCTCTTTATCCTTGTCCTGTCGATTTAGATTGTACTCAAGAGTTTTGCGCCGCCTTTCGGGACGAGGAGTAAGAAAAGGAGAAGGGGATGGTGACACCCCCATCCCAACTTTCCTAGTGTGATCAGGGGTGAGTGCCATCATTTTTCACTCTTCCCAAACCTAAACCAACACCAACATGCTTCATCACAATCAAAGCATATAAACCAAATCAACTACACAACCACAAAGCCCTAACGCCCTAACCAACAAATTTAGAAACATTTCGTGATGATTAATTAACTTAATTTTAACCCTAATCAGCATTACCAGAAGAAAACCCTAAATTCATTCCTTGGTTGCGTTAGATTACAATTGAATTGGGATCACAAATAAGAAATTACCTCAGTGATTTTGTATATCCTGACGAAGCCCGACTCGATTAGCGAAATCAAACTCAAAAGCTATGAAATTTTCGATCAGAGAGAGAATTAGCTAGGGTTTGGCGATCGAAAGGGGAATGGGAAAAAGGAAAGCTTTCTTCCGTCTTTAGGAGAAAGGAAGACTTTTGGGGCTTTCAGCGAAATTGAATCGAATCGTAGATTTGAAAAATGAGGAAAAATGGTGGTGTCTGATTGTCCAACGGCTACCGTGCGCTTTTGTATGGGGGGAAGTGGCCGTTGGGGTCAGACGGATTTCTATGGCTTTTTAAAACTGGGTGGGGCCGACCGGTGAAAATTCAAATGAGGCGCGTATGTTAACTTGCGCCTTTGGGTGAATTTAAAAAGTGGATTTCCAATTTTAACGCAAAAATGAAAAAGAAGAGTTTTGCCCAAAAAGAAAATAAGAGAGTGAGAGAGCCTTCGTGTTTTGCCGTCGGATAAGGAACACCAAATTTTAGATCAAATTTACAAATCAAATGATGTGTCACAATAGGAAATAAGCATGTTAATCAACAATTTAATACTAATTTAACTATTAACAATCACATTATTTAGTTTACAAAATTTGGTTTCTTTAGCATTATCCTTTGCAATCCCACTAGGTAAGTTGTGGTGTTCTCCTGATTTGTGGTTGACATGTATTGGTTGTAATTGTTAATTTGATAGCTTAATTGAGGATTTATTCTTGGTTAAGTTTGATCCTCTGTAAATCATGTTGGTTTTTAGTTCGGATGATTACGTTGGGATTGGTCACTAGAGAAGGTTTACCATATTTGATGTTATTTTGCTTTTCGTTGTGATGTCTATTACAATTAGATTGAAGAGCTTATTATTTTCATTTGGTCCAAATTTCAACTAGTATTGCTTGATCATTCTAATTTTATCGTTTCAACAATATTACATCATTCCTTGATAATAATAAAAAATTGGTAGAGTATCTCTAAAAGAAATGTCAAAAAATTCATATTAACAATGACAGTAAAAAAAGACAACACTAGTTTTCTACCAATTATTATGTGGCATGATTTGGATTGGAGAACAAAACTTAACAAAAGGTAATGCTAGGGAGACTAAATTTCGTAAACTAAATAACATGAAAGCTGATGATTGAATTATTACTTAAGTATTAATAAACGTGTTGTCGCATAGACTTTCAAACTTAAATTTTAGTTTAATGTCTCCTTTAAAGATGGTGTTAAAGAAACCATTCCAGATTCATCATCTTGATTTCTCCACCATGGTTCTCTACACTTACAGTTACCATTAGCCTAATCATAGAAAATAACAGATTTAAGCACTAGAATTAATATAGTTAATCATCATTGAACATAACTTGGGATTGTAAACTCAATCGTTAAACATTCATAATTTTACAAGAACTTTCATGTTGAACTTACTTTAGACATCAATGATGAAAATCTAATAGGATATACTCACTTTTTAATTTTAGCCCAATGATATTTTAACACATGTTTTATTGCTTTAAAAAATAATAGACATGTTGATTAATTTTTTGGATGAACTTAAGTACTCAATACTGACTAAGTGCATTTTTGCTCACCATCATTTAGTATGGTGTATGCTCATCACCTTATTTATTACCGTTAGATGAATTTGAATTTTGAGATTTGTGCTTATCCACTATAGGAATCTCGAAATTCAAACTCATCTAATGGTGATAAATAGGATGGTGAGCATACACCACACTAAATGGTGGTAAGTAAAAATACTCTCTTAGTGACTAGCCTATATATTTACTTTTTGATTTTTGTCCAGTGATGTTTTAACACATGTTTTATCATTTTAAAAAATAATAGACATGCTAATTAATTTTTGTTGAGCTTTAAAAAAACAAGAAACATGTGTCAAGATCTAAATCTGTGTGCACATTATTAACTCATGCAAGATTCTTATTTCTAAATGTGGAATAACCTCTCAACAAATTATATGTGCATAATTACACAATTAATCTCAGTATCATTGAAATTAGTTCAAAACGTTAAGATTTACAGTAACAATTAATTATATTTCGTGAAGTATCATTTATGTCGTTTAATTAATGTGTGTTGTTCTTATTATGGGTTTACATATATCAACAATTAATTGTCCACATGCGCATGAACCATCGTACGAAACAAAGCTATAACATAAAAGAGCTCATTCATGTCGATCAAGTAAAAGGGCTTCAAAAATTATCATGATGAATGATGATTGCAAGGCTTATCTTATGTAATTTGAACTGTCGTTCAAGGTTAAAGTAATGATTAAAGGAGGTGTGATTGGCTTGGTAAAAGCTAACTGGGCAGTTGCCGCACGAGGAGACAATGCAGGATGGCCGGAGCGTGGAGCGCCACTGCAAACTTGATAGAGGACATCATTATGATGAAACCGCATTAAACTGAATAGGGAAAACTAGTATGCGCGATTGATTATCAGTCGATGTATTAATACCATTTTATTGTTGCGCATGGTTATCAAATGACTCTTAACTTAACATTAGGTTGCATGAGTGATTGAGTTGTTGCGCATTGTGATTGTGAAGCCCACTTGCATCTACGGCTCGCCATCACCCATGCTCACGCAAATTACCAAGCTTAGCATAATTCTAGACTAAAAAATGCAATGTGAAAATAGGGTGTGAGAGGCTTGTTGCTCAATTGATAACGGAACATTCACCCACGCACAAGGAATCCTGAGTTCGATTTTCTCTCTCTAATATTTACTTGTATCAAAAGTGTTGTATAACGTGTCTCTGAACTATTAGTTTATTTTGGATTTTTATCACAAGTGGTTTTTGAAATTAACTCATACTATCAAAATGATTTCTGAAAATGAAAATCAATAAATATGATATCTCTAAATGGTTGTCGCTTGATGTAGTACTTCCTTTAGAATTTCGTCAAAATTTATGTTAGTGTGCTAATATGGCATGTAAGTAGACCCACAAATCTTTTAAATATAACCACATGGATATATTATTAAAAACTATATAAAAGTTTGATCTAGAATCATTTAAAACTGAATTCAAAATGATCAGATAAAAAAACAAAAAGCTGTTCAACAAAATAAGAAGCCCCGGTTGAGAACAACGATGTCGGGTGCGGTGCAGGTCAGAAGATAGTGGCTGGGGTGGGAGAGATGGCAAGAGAATTGGCAAATTAAGAAGCCCAGGTCCTGATTATTATCATCGTCGTAATACAAATTTCACGCGCACCGGACGCATCCGTTGCCGCAGCTATCGTCCTGCTCCGGCTTCTGGGGATGTAGAGCCCTCGCATACCCTCTGCGGTCGGCCCGGAAGTTGCTCTTGATGGTGGTGCGAGTGGACAAGGGTAGTCACGGTGTTTGAATAAGAAAAAGTCGAGAATTGTTGTTGGCAGCTGGGTTTCGAAGAAGAAAGAAGCCAAGGTGATGACGTGTTCGGGCTCTGTTTTTAAAATAAAAAAGCTTTTGGAAAAACAAATGCACTTAAAAGTGTTTTTTCACAATAAGCACTAATTATGTATTTTATATAATAAGCACTAGTTATATGCTTCAGTTTTAAGTGATTTTTCAAGATTTATTTTATTTTTACAAAGAACTGTTTTCAAAAATGATTTCACCAAATCTTTTAATTTTTTATTTACTCATTTTGAATTTGGTTTTAAATGATTTCAAATTAAATTTTTGTGTGGGTTTTAATGATTTGTCTATGTGGCTATATTTAATAAACTTACGGGTCTAAAATGACTAAATTGATTTGGAACATCTATTTTCAAGAGCTACATTGATTAATTTTCAATTTCAAAAATCATCTTGAGAGTATCAATTTCAAAGACCACTAATGATAAAAACCCGTTTATTTTTATACAAGTAGTATTCCAACTTGCATAGAAGAAAATTCCAACTTGAATGCACAAGGACAGCACATATACTCTAACTATTATGACTCGACAACACCTGCCCCTAATCATCATTTAGAAGTAAAATTTTGGATGGCCATTTGGCTCCCATTACCATTTCGTTATGGAGCACAAGTGTACGATGCCATTGGAGGGGTTCAACTTTCATAAAGCAAACACATATGGTATATTCAATGTCTCCGACTCCACTCGTTTCTTTGACTTGCAATTCTACATAACTCAGATGAATTTAAATTACAAAATCTATCTTCATTTCTTCATACAAACACAACGCAGTGAAAAGAATCATAGAGGCACTGATCCGTAAAATACGACTTCAGCCGGGCCTGTCATGTAGATGTGATTGTTCTCCTCTCTCCACTCAATCTGCAACGGCCCTCCAGGTAGATCAACCGTGCAATTCTACGTCCAAATGATAAGCATAAAAATGGTGAGCGAAGGGGACAGCAAGTAAAAGAAACTACAGTAACAATGAAGTGATCTGGAATTTTACAATAGATGAATAAGCAACAGTCAAAGACGCTAAACTTTCCCCACATTACGTTTAGGAAATCACGTGGCCGTTGAGTTGTTAGGCCACATGTATCAGACTACCCACCCCTGGTTTTTCATGGTGGGTACCGCGCATGGGAGGGGTATCGCGCTTATAAAAGTGACCAATGTATCGTGGCAATGTAACAGAATAGTGATGCGAAGAATGCCAAAACTAGAATTGTAGTATGCATAGGCTATAGCATTACTCTTCTTAAAATTGGATGCTAAAGATAAAAACTGATAGATGAAAGTGGAACAATTTCATTTTCATGTGAAAAAATAAACCGTCTATATTAAAGTCTTTTAACATATCCAAAAAAAAATATGCCAAAACTTACTCGCTCAGCACGACCCTCAAGAACTGCGGCAACAACTACAGCACAAGCACCAGTTCCGCAAGCAAGTGTTGCTCCTGCAATGAAAAATAATTATACTTCCCATTAAAAAAAACTGGATTTGGTATCAGATCAAGGTATAATAACTTCTTCTATGGTTGCAACAGAACTAACCTGCCCCACGCTCCCAAACACGCATCTTTAGGTGTGAAGGAGTGAAAACTTGCACAAATTCTGTCGATCACAATCAAATGGGAATTGTGAATACAAAATCAACGCTTTAGAACAATGACAAATTAAGAACAAGACAGGACCAAAGGATCCAAGAACTTTGATTGAAATCAAATATTTCATTTGCACTAAAATATGTAGCATGATCATTATTGAATCTTGAAACTGTGTTTCAAGCTCTAAGCAAGATTGGAGACGGAAGCTTCAAGCACCCAATATAAAATTGGATTGGACATCGCATGAGTTCTTTTTACAATTTTAGGCAGTTCAGCATAAAAGCTAAGAGTAGCTGTTTTCGAATAATATTCCACTCTAACTTTGTAAATTTAAAGAAAGGGTGTCAGTGCCAGACAATTTTATGAGTATGTCTTTTTCAAAGTAATACCCACCGCAAGCAAGCACTATTCCAATAATTTTAAAGGATACCAGAAATCTCAAAGTTCAAATTTATGCACGGTCAATCATCTGTCATGTCAACAGGTGTAAGCAATGGACAAGCACCCAAAAACAAAAAAAACCCTATCATCTGCAGCATGTAATAGTGCTCTTACTTAACAATATGCCAAATCTAACTGCTCCAAAAAAAAAAAAAAAAAAAGCATTTCCACAGACAAATAAATCCAAACCTGTGTTTGTTCGTGCTGGAAACACCTCATGATTCTCAAATTTGGGACCGATGTCAGCTAACATCAATTCATCAACCTTCATATTCTGTTCAATTAACAAAAACATGAAGTCACAAGCGGAAACTACGGATTTTTTGAGCGTTCCAATATTTTGAAAAGGATTGATATGCTGGAGGAAACTATTAATCAATCATCTTTATTCCACCCACATTATGTCATTCATTTGAGATAGAAAAGAAGCATTATAGAGAAGACAACTGAGAGAAATGTCTGCAACATAAGCCTTGCAAAAGTGAATATGTTCCCAGTTATTCATAAGAGTGAATATGTCCCAAGTTATTCTAGCAATAATTACCTGGCCTCCTTCTGTACCAAAAGTTACACAATGAGGATTTCCCATACTAACACAAGTTACATTCCAGGTTACTCCATCAACATTGAGACCCGACTTAACGACAGATTGATCTTTGTTTGCAGGCAGTCTTGTGGGTACATCTGATGCCTTAAGAATCGGTTCCCCCATATCAACTTTGACCTGTAATTAAGAAAATTGATGTCTGCTAAAGTCAAGATGAACATCCAATACTTTACACATGATGAAGGCATCCAGAAGGGCAATTAACATTGTCATAAAATTTTCAAAGTCACATGCCTTGCAAAATGTTAGACATATCAATGCGAAATACTTTACTTGAACTGGAACATCATATAAACAAGAATATACCTTCCCATCTTCTTGAATTTCAGGAATAATTAGACCGGCACCAGTATAAATTTTAAAGCTGCAATTGTTTACATATACCGTTGTTAGAAATTTACACCCATTCATATGTGCCTAAATAAATTTTACTTTTTGAAGTTAAATTCAAACAACAACTAAAGCAAACAATGCAAATACAAGGAAACATTTGTTAAACAAAAACAATTATCAATATATGGAACCAACTTTACCATACCTATGCTTTCCCTGCAAATTCTCCAGCTCGGCAATGAATCTGGCAAAACACCGGACTCCATTACCACACATCTACAAACAAAAATTAATATCAATTTCCAAAATTTAATATCAAAGTTCAGAAGTTTGAAATGCATGACTCATGCACAATACTGCCATTCAATAAAATGTAAACAGTTCATTGCCATTTCAGACCGTCTACATTCAATACAATGTGGTAATCACTCATCTAATTAACATTTCAAACAATCAAGTAAAGCCGATGTTTAGGAAAATGTGATTCACCTCGGGCTCGCTCCCATCAGAATTAAAAATCCTCATGGTATAATCAGTGCCATTGATGCCCGGCAGTGCGAAGATCACTCCGTCGGCACCAATCCCAAAGTGCCGATCACATAGCTTTGCCGCCTGCTCCGGACTAATTTTAGGCTCCGAAGAATCTCTGTTATCAACCTATCACTCGCAATGCCAGACAATCAAAACAAAGAATCGATAACAACTAAACCCTAACTTCTTCAATGCCAATAAATTTCAAAAATTGCAAAAAATCCAAAACATTTCAGAGAAATTGAATACCAGGATGAAGTCATTTCCGAGACCGTGGTACTTGACGAAATGGAGGAATCCGGCTTCTCTTCGGTCGAGAAAGGCAGCGGGGGAGGCTTTCTCGACGGCTTCGACGCTCATGGAAGAGGAGACCGCCGACACACGGAGAGTAGGAGCTCTCGGCGAGGCAGCTGCAGAGGGAGAGTTGAGCTTCAGGATCGGAGAAGAAGGTCGACGAGAGGCGGTGAGGAAGGTGAGGGATCGGCGAGTTGGGGTGGTTAGAGGCAGTGAGATGGCGGCGGCTATGGCTCCCATGGCTCTGATGGCAGGCGCAGCGGCTCTCTGACTACCTAATTGTTGTTTACTTGCCGTTGGTCGTAGCAACAACGTGTTCGATTGACGTGCTGTACCCACTTTCTAAACTTCCACCTGTTTATTGTAATTTATGATAAATTTATATTTTTACTAATTAATAAAATATTTATTATCAATCAAAATTTTATAAAATTATGAATTTAACTCTTTAATTGAAATAAAATATGAATAAGAAATATGGAGTAAAAATAAAAAAATAAAATAAAATTCCCACGTTCACATTATCTATCATTCTCTTCCTCTCTCCTTTCATTACAAAAACAAAAATAAAAAATTTTCTCACACTTTGTGTGTGCCCATATGCTAGTATATTTTAAGTATAAGACACTTATTTATATGAAATACTATAGATTTACTTAAATCCACTTAGGCCCTGTTTAGCCACCTAGATGCTAGTTCTCAATCCACTGCCCGACTAAAGTCTAGCGTTTTCTGGAACCTTGACTGTACCCAATGTTTTCACCTATTTCTAGTATGGCACTGAAAAGTTTCATTCTAACTTTATTACCCCTAAAGTTTTATAAATTGTCAATTAGATCCCGTCGAAAGTTACTCTAACTGGGCATCAAATTATTATTTCTACTGGGATGGATTTTTGTCCTTGTACTACTAAATTTTGGGTGGTTGGAATTGGCATGCCAAAGTCGTTTTCCGCATTTGTGCGTTATGGGATTATAAGAGAACCACATCTGAAAAGATTGTGAGTCATTTAATAACAATTTCGTATTTAGTTTTCGTTTTTTTTTTTCTCACTCGTCTGCATTCTTGCAGCAAATATATCTTCTTTGTAATTTATCAAATATATGTTGCTATATTTTAAAACTCTCTTGCTTCGTTTGTTGACCTTTTTTTTTTTGTGATGCAGTTCTTCGGTGAATAGGTATTTTTTACCGAAGTTGCATGACCGCGAAGAACCCGAGGATAATCGGCATATTCAGAAACTTTCACGAGCTAGATGATGATCTATCTAACCACAGCTGCACTATGAACTATACCACCATACCATACGTGATTGATAAACGGCTGTTATTTGTGAATACCAGTAGTTTTGTTCCATATATTTATGGATGGCTTGGCTACAACCAGATGTTTAGGCTTATGCGTATTAATTTTAGGTTTAGAGTTTCAGCAGTATATCCGCTCTAGTTAATATGACAATTTAAGATTTTAGGGGTGAGTATATCCGCTGCTATAGCCCACGTGACGGGGAGAAAAAGGCGGTGGGCTATATAAAGTGTTAAACATCTTTCTTAACTGTCGATGTAGGACCAAAAAGAAATACGATTTGTTAATGAACTGGACCTAGTGTGCTTCATTTAGCATCATTTTTGAGCTCACCACAACCCTTTTTTCTAATTAAATTCGGAGTTTAGATTATTGTACATGATCTATGAGATAAAACCAAAGATTATTATAATTCGTTCTCCTCAAATTTGGAACTGGTTTCACCTCTTAAACAAGTTAAAACACAAGAATTAAAAAAAAAAGAGATTAAATCCTTCTCTTCCATTCCAGTTTACAAGTCGATCTATTTTATCGTCGAATATCTTACTATCTTCCAGTGTATCCTATACACATTGTTCCAACAATTTCCTCTCGATTAAAATATAATTCCATTGAAAATTTTACTGTGTTCTAGTGTATCTAGTACACATTTGCCAACAATTTTTCGACTAAAATTAGAAAAGTTGACTACCAGCATATCCGATGTGGGATTGAGGTTATGTAACACGGAAAAGTGACTAGACTTCCGATGTGAGATCGTTACAATTTGGGTTGATCATTTTTCAATTTTCTGTGGGTGTTAAAGTCAATGAATTGAACCTAATCGCCTTCTCAAGTACAAGATCCAACAGTATTAGTTCATCTTCTTTGGCACTGAATCCCAGAAAGTCAACGCTCTTGAGGTATCTGAGCTGTGAGGTGCTGAACCTGACAGAAGGGAAGTCCATCCAGAGATGAAAGTCATGACAGCAATGGTGGAAATATGGGCAGGGGATGCTGCTGAGGTTGCTGTCAATCCGCTCACTCGTCACAACGAGAGGAAGAGTCAGTAAAACTGTAAAGCATATATATTCACAAACCAATATTGAAAAACAAAGTGATTTCCGCACATCATGTTTCTCTCGTTACACACATCTGTTTATTTCTAGGCATTAGATTGAATAAACATAAGTATTGGGTTCCAAAAATCGTTTATCTGTTAAAAACTAGAAAACTAGCCTCAACTAACAACTTCTCCAACAAAGGACATGCGTTTCTCGTTGATTGATGCGAGATTTATACGCACACAAATTAAACCCTCTTTTTGTCAATTGTAGTATAAGTGTAAGTAGGGATCGTTCTGGACCGGGGATTAGGAGGGATTGCTAAAACCTTGGAAACTGACTCAAAAACGTAAAAACAAGATAAAACACTAAACTAGACTCAAAGAATGTGAAACTAAACGTTAAAACATTAAAAGACTCAAAACTAATTTTGGATGAATTTAAGATTATGGCTTGATTCAAAATACCTTAAACATAAACTAAACAGATTCTAAGCACTAAAGAACAAGAAAGTAAAGGGGGGGGGAAAAGTTTTGATTTGACGAAAATTGAAATAACAAAATAAGTTAATAAACTGAGCGGAATGTAAATATGAAATTGTGATGGAATGAATGGAATGAAGGCTAGCTAAGGGGTTCTTCTCCACACATGTTACACTTGCATACAAGATTGATTCTCAGTTGGTCTTTCGATAAATTATGAAACTCAACACTCCGGATTAATTAGGTCCGCTTTAATTAACCGTCAAGTTTTCCTTAAGTTAATGAATTGGATGGGTTTGCGCAACGCAATTCACAACATTCTCCAAAAGTCCTTTACGTGAACAACACAATAAAGATACAATCAAAGATCATTAAGCATTATGAAAACTATAAGTGTTGACGAGGCATTCGTTACTATGATGAGCATGAAACTCGTGCCAAGAATTCATTTAACTCGATTGTTTAGAAGCAACCTCCACTACTTGTGAATATAAGTTCATAACGATTAGGTGAAATTCACTTATATTCTAGCGTCATATTTATGCATGAAAATTAAGCGCGCATTCTTAATAAACATTCATAAATAAGCTATCAATCAAACGGTTAAACAAATTGAATCCACAACTTATGAAATTCCAACGAAAGTTAATCAATTCATATTGCAAATATAAACATAGTTTCGAATCACCCCCTACCTAAAGGGGGTTTAGTTCCTCATAACTTTGAAATCAAAGAAACACCTAAACATTCCAACAACTCAAAACTTGAATTGTATGAACGTTTAAGCACTCTTCTCTTCCATACATACAAAACAAAGAGAATTAAAATGAAACTTTGAAATCAAAGAAACACCTAAACATTCCAACAACTCAACTTGAATTGTATGAACGTTTAGGCACTCTTCTCTTCCTCGTTATTGTAGCACAAGGTTTAAGGGATGTTGTTGGTGTGTTGAATGGATTGGGGAATTTATGGAAATGGAAGAAATGGAGGAGAAATGGAAGGGAAATTCACGGCCAAGGGGGGAAGAATGGATGATTTTGAAGAGTGTTGTGTTGTGAATGAAATGAGGAATCCTTGAATGATGAGAATGCAAGGTATTTATAGGAGAAGTGGAGGGAACATATGGCTGCAATGCATGTGACAAAAGACTAGGAAAGTGGGTGGAAAGCTGGAATTTCACAAGGGGGCCAAAGGGAACCCACGGCAAAGGAAAGGATGGTGCATGTGATGCTGATTTTTGTGTTGGTTAAAGCTTGTGAAAGCATGTGCAATGTATGGTGGATGAATGAGATTGCATGTGGCTTTATGGTTGAATGTTTAAAGGGTGCATGTGAGTGGATATGTGGCTGAAAATGCATGTGCAACAACAAAGAAGAAAGCTGAAAATGCATAAGGTGTACACGGCAAGACTTGGAATTGCATGTGTTTGGGAAGCTTTCTTGCTCATTTTCTGGATGCAATGATGAAGAGTTTAATAATTAAAGTATGTAGGTGGCTGAAATGATGAAGAATGAGTGGTGGAAATGAAAGGGAAAGCTAGAAAGACATGTGAAGATGTTGGAATGTCAATGAAGTGCACGGCATGGATGTTTTGGTGTGTGAATGGTTGTTGTTTTGCATGTGAAGTGTGTTGTGAATGTATGTGGGTTAAATGATTAAAGGGGGTGGAAGATGGATGAATGATGGATTGAATAATGAGGCTCTAGGGTGGAATAAATGGTGATGCATGAGATGGAATGATGAATGAATGCACGGTTTTGGTATGGAGAAAAGGATGAATGTGCATTATGTTGGAAAGGCTATGAATGTGCATGGCACAAAGGTGTGGATGGTTTATGAGTGCATGTGGGTGAATGATTTGTGGTGCAATGATGAAGAAGGAATAAAGAATGCATGTAGGGTTAGCTAGGAAAGTGGGAATGTGGTTGAATGATTAAAGGGACATGCATGTGGCTTGTTTGATTGCTTAGTGAGATGATGCACGGCACAAAGGGGTGAATGGTGTGTGTAATTGCATGTGTGTGTGAGTGGTGGTAGTGGGGTGAATTATAATGAATGCATATGGAATAAAGAATGGAGAAGGTGGTATAATGATGCATGCTTGTAGTTTAGGGTGTTGAATATGGATTTGCATGGCTTTTGAATTGATTGTGGGCTTTGGAATTGGAAGGAAATGTATGGCAAAGGGCTTGGTTTAAGAGAGAATGGGCTAGGCCCTTTGTTTTATGTCCAAAGTGAATACAAGACCTTCAAAGTCGTCCAACATTTTGGCTCCAATCATATGCTATCCATTCCAAGCCCAATTTTGCTCCAAAATGCTCCAAAATGCATCTTTTTTCTTCCTTAAGCCCTTAGAACTTGAAAACACACAAAAGAAGCATAAAGGACTAAAATAACTAGAGAAACATAACGTAAATGCACGAGAACAAGCCATTTAAGTCGCATGAATATGCTCCTATCATTGATCAAAGAGTCTACCCAAGTTAATGACTTTAGCTCG